CTTTACGTCTCCTAAAATTAAAAAAAAAAATTTAAAAATTTAAAACTCCATCTGTACTCCACGTGTTCAAGTAACTCTGACTCCATAATGAACACAATATTAAGAAATATTTTATCACAGAACACAAACCAAGTGTATTCACGAAGAGGATAAGTTGCTGAGCTAAGAGTACGAGATGCATATCACAAACACATAGATTCGGATAGTGCTGACATCTAGTTTAAAAAAAAACTATTTTTACGTTAAAAACAGTTTGACGCAGCCATCTAGTGTGTAAAATATCTAAATTAAAAAAATTCAGGGTACAAGAGATTGATATATTTAAACTTGTATGGTGCACTGTTTTTGAATTCACCAGCCTGAAAATATCACGGGCACGAGAAATAGAAAACAAAAGCTCACCTCGTGTACATTAGCAATTAATTACAAAAGCGTACCTTACAATTTTCACTCTTTCTGAGATTTGACCCCGCAGTGGACTGATTGTTAAGACACGGTTCCCAGTAGAACACAGTAGCCAAGCATCAATGGCTGCGGTCAGTAAGCGAGTGGGTGATCACTTTGATCAGCCTGCTTAGGGACCGAGTGTGCGCGGTATCGATCCTCGTTTTACTGTTCTACGGCAAATTGCTCGAATTTACGCACAGTTCGTCAGGCTACCAAAGCAGGGGAGGATGGCTCCCCTTGTATATCAAAGCAGGGGAGCCATCCTCCCCTGCTTTGGTAGCCTGACGACGTAGCCTGTGCTACGTAATTAAAGTACCTACCTTCCAACCGAGAATGGATTTTCCAAGTGGTAGTTAAAACAATTTCAAAAAACAATCTTACTCAAAAATATTTATGTATTTTGACTAAGTTGAACTTCTCTATTGTAAAGACTTATGCTTTATATGTGTGTTGTAATTATTTACGTGTAGTAGTTTTTCAAACTCATTTATAACTCCACTTGTTTAATGGAATAACACGAGTTTCGCTACCATTTTATGAAAATAAAATTTTCATATTCCCGAATAATGAAAATAAAATTTTCATATTCCCGAATAATTTGTAGTTATGAGAGAGCATTTTTAAATAGCACAAATATATTATTTGAATGCGTAACTGCCGTCTTCTTATACTTTCTGGTTAAAATTCTTTGAAAGGGAAGCCGTATAACAAGTGAATTTTTAAATATAAGTGTGTCCCGCAGTGGACTGATCGTTAAGACACGGTTCCCAGCAGATCACCGAAGTCAAGCATCACTGTCAGTGTGCGGGTGGGTGACCATCATATATGGCAGTACTTTTACTTTCGTTACTTGTACCGCCGGTACAAGTAAAAAGTACGTACTTTTACTTGTACTTCGTTACTTTTTAAATTTAGTACTTTTACTTGTACTTTCGTTACTTTTTTAGGGAAAAAGTACAAGTATTTGTAACGGAAATGTCGAATGAAATCGTTACTTTTTTCTAAAACTCGGTAAGCTTTTTGAAAAATAAAAATAAAAAAATGCTTTGGAAATGCAATTATATTGAAAAATGAATAAAAATTTTAATTAGCAAGTTATTTTCATTCATTTTCGAGTTTTATGCATTTTTTTAATAAATTTTAAATACAAAATTTTGGATTTTGTTATTACGTTTTTCAATTTTCTGTTTGAACTCACTAATAATACAATTTTTGTCTTAATACATTTTTTACTAAATACATTTTTACCTAGTACATTTTTTACTAAAATTATGTTTATGCCCGACCTTGTCAAACAGTGTTCAGTCAAATCTCTAAGAACTTCAGAACTATTTGTGCTATCGAAAACTATTATAATTACTATTTTAACTCTTGAAAACTCGAAGGTATTAATTTAGCCGCTGATACTAAAATT